TACAATAATATTTATAATAACCTTGTATTTCAAATCAAGAAATATTGACATAATACATATCAACTTACAGATAACAAAGATAATATAGGCCCTATATATAAATACGATAATCTCGTGATGATAGGTCTACATCGGAATAGCGATACTTTATCCAGAACGGTCGTGAGGCCCGATGCGTTAAAGCCTCGTCTTACCGCTTACCGGAAAAGCGCCCTTACTGAGCTGCTACGGCGGTGGAAAATTAGCTAAGTGCATGTCGCCATAAGTATGGTATTAGGAAGCGTCAGATATCGTACGATGAGGGCTGTCGCCAATAATCGCCATGGATATTGCCACGGAATGAGAATGTCTTTAGACTAGCGTCTCCAAAAACGCAATAAAAGTAAAATGCACCAATGGAATGTCCACTGAATGGTGTAAATTGGTCTGTCATCCGTTCTTAAAAAGGGACAGTGCGCCTTTTGACCAATCATACCTTAGTCTTAGAAACGTTTTTTTTTTCACAGATCACTGTCGAAATTTGAGCCTTCAAATCCATGTGTGTCCAGAATTATCAGCGTTTGATAGTTAAAAAAGACGAATCGTGTTTTCTTGAGACACTGCCAAAGATGCTGAGGCATCTATAGAAATAGGAAAAGCAATTCCTAGGTTGTGGTATTTTTGAAGGAATTATGCGATTTTCGTACATATTTAGTGCCCCTAAGACTATTTATATATATTCTAGAACAAAACCACCCCCCCCCCCCCCCCCCCCCCCCCCTCCCACAACCATCCTACACAAATGACAATTTTTTTTTAAAAGGTCTGATAAGTTGGTGAGAAATGAGAAAACATACGATTTGTGCTTTTAGTTGAGTGCAATAAACTGGATTCATTTTCATAAATGGGTAGTCGTGACATAAAAGCGTGATAATCACTTTCAATAGGCTACCTATATATACAAAATGAAAGTAAACGTTCTGCATACGTTATAGGCCTACTCATACAGATAATACATTAAACGTTCTCAACTTTAAAAATACCTATTGGAAAAACCGAACATCCCGGATCATACATGTTTTACATCATAATAATTGTAAATCGTAAACAAAACGTAAATCATATCATCATTTGACCTTCAAAGAGTACTTGTATGTCGTGTTTGACCGACTTATATATTATTGTAATTTTCAAACGTTTATGGTAAATGTTTATAACCACTAAAACCACGCATCCATTCGTGTGTTTCATAAAAACCGTGGTAATACAAGTTGGAAAAATTACGTATTCATACCTAAAGTTTGTCCAATCAAAATTGCCTCTACTGTAATGATAACAAAATTTCAGCCAATTAAAACAAATCACTCGTTATGACGCTTTGTTTGCAAACGTAAACAAAACATGTGCCATTACATATTTCGATTAATATACGGTACAGAATTGAGTAAGATTTTCGGTAAAGAATTGAAGCCGAGAGAAAATCAAACCTGTTGTGTTCTTATCTCTTCAAACAGGCGGCGGTGGCAAAGCAATATTTGTGTTTTGTTTACGTAGCCTCAGATTTATCAGCACCAATCTCACCAATCTGCCAATTCACGCCCACAAAACGAAGGATTCGTGAAATGATGATTAATAGTCTACTTTGCATGAACACAAAAGAGGAAGAAAAAAACAAAAAACCAAGTCTTTTGAATAATAGATTTAACTTGGACAGGAAACCTTTCCCCTATCCTTAACCTGTATATTTCAAAAACAAATCTGGTCTTCCCACCATTATTTTAAAATATTATGATAAATAAATATTTCATAACCTTTATTGCATATATATGTGTATAGTCAATGTACATTAAGTAAAATTGAGCATTATGAGCCCCCCCCCCACCCCACTCTCCGAACTGAAAAAAAATATACATACAATATATCTGAGCAATATTATGATATTAATACCGTATGTACACTGGTCTACGTCCGAAGGAGGGGGTGCCACTGATACCATGCCGTCGTTAGGGACTAATATAAAATAATACTTATTACTGGCAGTAAAAAGGGTGAGATAGTTTTGCAAACCAACAAACTGTACCCAAACAATGGTTTAATCAATGCTAAAAATTCCTTAAAATTCCGAAAATATTTCATATCGGTTTTAAAAATTTAAGTTATAAATGCCTATTCTTAATCTAGATCCTATCATTTTGTTTGTAATACTGTCCCACCCGGACTAAACATATAAATAAACAATGAAAAACACATACTAATAAATACATACAGACATTTAAGTTAAACATATATACTATAAATATTACTATATACAATACAATGGCGTATGTAGGTGAAGGAGACGAGCAGGGGTAAAAAAAATTGCTATTCTTTCACTATGTAAAATGATAAGAAAATGAAAATGGGATTTTTGGTAGAATAGCCTTAATATATAAACAATACAGACTAACTTAACATTATGTTGATTATTAATTAAACTACCTAATAAAGAAGTGGACTGCTGCTCGTGTTTAAATTGGACCCGGATAAACAGGGTTGTTTTGATATCTTTATGATATGACGGATATAAACTTGCATCATTATATTATTAGTAAGTATGTACATGATTATGTATTATGATTGCCACATTATTATAATCATTCGCAGCAATGACCTGACAATGATAATGATCGAAATAGAATGCAGTCATAGGCACAAATCAGTTAGAAACATTAATTATTATAGGCATCTGGCACGAGTCACTCACGAGTCACTTAGTTATTTAAAATATTTGTGACCAAATGGCAGTGAATTAGAAAAATAGAAGACGGATACGCCTCTATATATAGGTCTAAATTTAAGGTTAATACTGCTATGTTCTTGTAAATTTGACTTGTAAATGAATATACAGGTAACTACGTTTTTTTAAACCTAGTAGCAGCTTAAATATGAATAAACACAAAAAAGTATGGCACCCTTCAAATAAATAGTTCTTGGATTAAATTAAACTTGCCCATTCTCGCCAGTCTCTGATAATGTTTAGTGTGAATTAACGCAACCCAACTGGATTTTGATAATAATGATATCCAAAACGGATCGAAACCACTTAATAAGGGGGAGTAGGCTGCTTGCCGCCATCACCAATAATTTTGGTTCGTTGTATGAAAATATATAATATACAAAAAGCTGATTCAAACACACTGTCCAATTTAACCAACACTCATAAAATGACGATGTGATAAGTGACGAGGTGTGACGGTAAATACATCACCTGATGAGACTCTTATATCTATACTGATAACCATACTGACAGAATTGGCTGCGTTTTAAATTATGAAATGAGTGCCTTACATGTCGAGTGACTTTCACCACATAAAATTCATTGTTTGAATACTGTATATCGTTTCCGGAAATTTCGTGGTCTACGAAATCAAAAAAACCACTTTCAAAAGTGGCTGATGTAAAAATAGCCACCGTTATATTCTTGACATTTTTAAATCTGCTGAAACATGGCTTTGATTTCGTGTACTCGGTTCGAAATTTCAATGTCGTCCCGCCAAATTTCCTTCCTTTTAACTTGCGGACGTCTGTTAATGTTACTGTTTGATATCCTCTTCCCGCACTTTTGTCCCATTTTGATTTAATTTTGGTAATGGTTCCTAAAAATCCTGAAAACAGATGATATTTTTTTTTAGATGTGATTTACATATGAAACTGACAACATCATGTTTTGCTGTCGATCAGACTACTTGCTCGCTAAACTTTTTCTTGGGATTGATCCCATCATTGCGCCGAGATCAGTGGCGTATTTAGTGGACATGGCTCTCCCCTCAGGCTTGTGAAAGGTTTTATTTAAGGTGAAAATTAAACCCTCTCAATGCTCAAAATTCATCTCGCGCCATTCGAAAGCCGTTGGCTTACTCCCGGCCTCAAAAGGTTTCGGTCCTTCCGGCCTGGCCACAGAAAGATACCCGGCATTCAGACATTTTCTAGATACGCCTCTGGTTTAGATATTACTTTAACCTTGTCAGTGATGCAGCTTGAAGATGGACTGACATGTAGAAAAGCGTCTTGTCGTTCGGATCGGACAATTAATTGTCACTTTAAAGAAAGGAAATATAGTAGTTTTGTTTCCCCAATTACACACTGTTCGTCTAATACATACCGTATTTACTGTTGCATGCAGCCGGTATCCAACCATACAAATCATTGCGTTTGTGCACCCTACTCAATCTGCATTTTGGTGAATATATCTTGCTAGGCTTCGAAACAACATTTCCATTTTCATTGCAGTCAGAAAAGAGTGGATCGTACGGTAATGAAAGCCTTGCACCGTATTGGATATATTGGCAGCATTTCTGGGACCTTCGTGTACTCTTCTGTACCACGAAATCGCCACAGCAGGTCTCACTATGTTTGAGAACTCTCCGACCACAACATTTCCTGCTACCATTATATCTCACACCATTACAACAAGTGTGTTTACCATTGTTATACAATGGTAAAGGACCACAGCATTCTGTGACATCAGTCTTCTTGTACAGCTTCTCACCACAGCAGATCTCTGAGTTTGGATTGTACAGTTTATCATTACATTTCATGGTGCAACTACATGATTCATCGTTATACAGACATCCATTACTGACTTCGTCAAAGCAGCAACTGAAATGTAGTGTAAGAAACAATATACAGTACGCTCTAGCTTAGAATATTTCATTGAAAACTCTTTGTCTAATCACATGCTTGGGTGATAAGGTGTCGTCCAAACGAAGATTCTATCCTTTTTCCAAAAGATGGTGATGAGAACATAGTCTCTGGCTCACAGAGTAACTTATTCTTGCTCTCAAATGTAGCCTTCTCTTCGTTAAATCAAATTTTCAATCTTCTAGGAATCATGCAATCCACCTATGTGATATAAAACATCCTCTCAAAATGATGATTTTGGATAAGAAAAATTCTATGTGATGGGATTGAATGGGATATCACGTACGGTGGAACGGAACTGGAAGGGCCAAATTTGTCGGGTTATTTTTAGATTTACTTACATGCCCTCATCTGTTGGGAATTCAATAGTATTTTCTTTACAACATTTCTGTTTGTTTTCATCAATTGTAGAAAATCCACAACAAGCTGGCCTAGTTCCGTCAATAAATGGAGTCAATTGGTTATTACAACAGATAAAATTTGTTGGATCGTAATGTATTCTACCACATAACTCCTTACCATCGGGTCGCTTCGTCCACAAAACACCGTCTTTACATAACTAGACAAACGATGATTGAAATAAATTTTACATCCTATGATTTCATTTTAATTAGTATAACGAGCAGGGTAAACACAATGTAGAGCGCAATAGGTGTAATTTTGCCCAAAGTGCTGCGACAGCTAACGAGTTTGTAACACGCACGGGCTATAATAGGTTCAGTGCTTCCTCGGAATTTCAATCCTTTCCACTTGCATCAGTCACAGAGGAGAAGTGTGTCTAAAACCCATGTCGGCATCGACCCCTCACCGAGCCACAAGCAGTGCTTTCAGCTGGTAAAACAATATCTCGATGATCAGGTCTCTTTATCAAGTTGCTATTAAAGGGATAGATTCGCCATTTTCGTGGGTTGATTTTGATATTCACTGTATAAATAGTCTTCAGAAGTAATAGAAATTCTCATATATCTTTTAAAATACCCCAAACTAGGAACTTCTTTCTCTATTTCTATATATAGAGTCGTCATTTTAACTCTGAAACGTGGATAATTCTTGACACACATGAAATTGAAGGCTCAAATTTCGACGGTGAACTTTGAACACCATTACTGCTTAGCTAAAAAATCCCGTTTCTGAGACTATAGCACGATTGGTCAAACGGATGGCGCATCTGTCCCTTTAACACCAAAATGAATCGTATCGTGTAAACTGACCTTCTCAGTGCTGTTATAAGACACTCCTCTAGATATTGAATCTATTGATAAACAGCAACTATCATGTGTCGGGTCTGATTTCTTGATCAAACTGATCGAGTTGCAGCATAGTGAATCTTCTGTAACCTCTTGCCCATCACAGCACAGAGCATTTAGAGACATAATTTTACCAGCCGCATGTCCTTTAAAATACCAACATATCCAATTACAAGCTTTGTTGAATCTCTTGACGATGTCAAATCATGACCAGTGGCTCAACAACCATCGGAACTATGAACCAAGTCCGCGAGTCCTCACGTCTAAAGGAGCCCCCATTCCAAAAAACATTATCCAAAAAGTTAACATATTATATAAAATGGTTCACAACTTATGCTGGGGCAATATTATGTACTACAGATTGAATAAATTTAAATCTTCAATTAACAGGCATTAAATTGACTAACAGAGGAGTCTCAGGATGCAGAACATAATATGTTAAAAAGCAGTTCCCTGGAGAGAGGCCCCAATCCACTTAAGTCCACTCATCTAGTTGAGCTACTGATCTTGACACGGAATAGCATCACAGTCATGTTTGAAAGGAATCAGTCTCAAAATATGATTATGTAGGGTTGGAAAGAAGGAAAGAAGCCTCTTACCAAAACAGCATTTACTTCTGCTTTTATCATAACTCTCGCCAGAACAACAGCCTTCCTCGGCTGTATTCATCTGTTCATGGCCACAACACACACTGTCTTTACCGTATTGTTTCGTATGAACTTTCCCATCGCAGCATATCTCTGACGTGATGTTGAAATAATCTGAATATACAAATATATTAGTTTAAGGGATAAAGTCACCTAAATACCTGTTTTGTTAGCTGCTAGAATCCAATTTCAACCATCCATATCACTTTTCAGAATCAAATTTAGACGTGGAGTCCTCCAAAAATTCCAAAATTGTATATGATGTGACGCCATTGTAATACCGGCCACGAGGCCAGAAATTTGTTGCAGACGTCAGTCTATAATTCTGAAAAGTGTTACGGATAGCTGACATTGAGCTATACAAGCACGAGTAATAATTATTAAGAAAGATTTTTCTTTTACAACGAAAAACGTTAAAATATTTGGTCAGATATTAATCACCAACTCTGTTGCATCTTCCATACTTAAAGTTTCAAAATAACTGTATCAGCGGACTTACCAGTTCCACAGCAAGTAAAATCAGGATCTTTAGGAATAATGGTACGGTCATTAGGACAGCATGTATGTGTTGAGATATTATATGAACTCTCTCCACAACATGCTCTGTTTTCGTTTTTCTGTAGAATGTTGTTTCTTTTGTACACAGGAGAGTCGTTTACCACACCTGTAGAAAATGAGAAAGGATTAGCTATCTTTGGTATCGTGTAGCCTTAGTTCCCAAAACTGGCTAAGTATCACTGTGTGGATAAATAATCTGGCCCAATAATCTGTGATATCACATCAGTTTATCACATCTGAGGAAATGAATAGAGTCAGATTTGTCGAGGTAGGTGATTATGATGGTAAACAACTATGTGGGGAGTATAAACTTTGTATGGGTATGTTAGGGTTTCAGGGAAGTAGAATTTCTTTTTTCAGCAAAAATCACCCTATAATCAAATACTTATATCTTTTTTTCGCCATAAAGAAACATTGATTAACTTTTTACCGTTACAACACGATTTTTCATGTAGCTTAATAATCTGGTTTCCACATCTTTCCTTATACAGATCCATAATTTGTCCGTCTTGACACCAATTCACCCTTTTATTGAACGGTTTTCCATTGCAGCATCCTATATCGTCTGAGTACAATTGCTTTATGCCGACGTCGTCCCAAAAACAGCACATTTCATTTTTAGTCAGTATCACATTACCACAACAGTCGACTTCCTGTCTCGTGAACCCTTAAAATATACAGATATAGAAAACTTTGAACGTATCCCTTGAACGTATCAATTTTGATTCACGCCCGTCGGCAAAAAGGTAGTAGTAAAAACAGGTTTAGGATCTAGCCTACATGACGTCAGGAAGAGACCAGTGGGATGTGATCGTTTCTTCATAATTTGCTTTCTTCTCCAGCGTCTGGAATTGGTTTGCGAAAGTGACAAAAATCTTAATATTATAAAGGCCACAATTGAAATTTCCCTAAATACTTCAACGGGGTAGAATTATATACTTAATAGTATTAGAGTACAATTTACTACGGTTCAGGCGCACTTCAAGAAAACTATCTTACACTTTGATATCAAATATAATTATACGCCAGGAAGTGTTCATTTACCCCTTATGAACATAGATCCCTTAGAAGAAGTTCATATTCACGCCTAATGTAGTGTTTACAAAAATTTTCATAAGTGGCAGCTCAGTTGCCACGCGTTCAAGTTAAAAATTACACTTTAGTTTGAACAGTCTATAATATTGTAATAACACTGGGTTTACATTACTGTTAAGATATTTGAGACTTCTGTCCTTACGTTTTTATTCAATTGCACACAAGCCAAATTATCAAAAAATGTGAAAAGAGACAAGGGCAGCTAAAAATTAAGCACTATTAAGAAAGGGAGGGGGGTGTCTAATATTTACCGCTTGGAATTTGGTGTTTGGTGTTTTGACAGCAAATGAAATCATCATCATTTACAACTTGGCCATTACAACACACTCTTCTTTTATCAAACTTATCATATTTATCATTAACCTCACCATTACAACAAATACTCACATTTTTGTAGAAAAACTTGGGATGTTCTACAAGAAAACAATAATGTGAATTGCTGAATTAAGAAAATGGGGTTCCGGGGACTCTGGACAGTGACGGCTTCAAAGGTGTGTATGTGTGTTCAGCAGACCCCCCCACCCCCTCACCGCTCGAATTATTTTTATTGGCTAAGCACCCCCCTTTCTCATAATACGTTAGAAATAATATTCAGTAGTATTCAGAAAATTTCTCATTAGATTTTTTATCAGTTATAATTTATTCTGCGTGTAACATTATATGGTCCTTCTAAAAGTCGAATTTCTCTTGTATAGTGTTTCCGATATACTGTTAGTCATTATTGAGTCACACCCAACGGACCACGGTGGTTTCAAAGGGGGGAAAATTAAATTGTTACAGTCCTTTATCAACGGATTAATCATATTCTATTTGTATAACTTTTCACATTTAAATCCTACAAGTTCATTTGTAGATAAACATAAAAATTCCCAAAAACATTTTGGTCAATAGCTGTATGTATATGCATAATATGTGACTATTGACATTTATATTATACTGAATATAAATCCTGGCATTTTCATTATTAAACAGTAGGCCTACTTGAACTATTTTCGCTTCAATGCATTTTGCAAGTATGTGAGATCAACAGTTTATTGTAGCAAATTGTACTGCTTAAGCCTATACCTACATCATCATAAATTTATATGATACTAAAACATGAGTTGGGTCTTCTTCGTGTTGCAGGTTACACGGTGTTTGAAAAACGAAGCCGATGAGATGTGCCGACTTTAATATTCCCAATGATATAGATGATGTCATAAATCGTGAATGAAATAAGACTAACATAATGGGAATAACTGCATAAGAGCCTAGACCTCACCACTTAGTTTTCAGGGGTAACTGTTTATTTAAGACAGGCGGAAGTAATAGATTAAGATATGAATCTCTTTTTTTATCTTGTACTAAGTAGATATAGCTAGGCTTATTTCGTTTCGTGTATTTTATGTGGGCGGTTCCGCTCTCCACTTTTGATCTGCTGAATTTTTTTATGCGACAAAGGTTGTTAAATTATTAGACCAATCAATTGCTCTGTTAATAAAACATTTTATTAATAAATATCTGCCAAGGGCTTGAAGTCACGGTTTGTAAGACATACATACCTTTATCATAACAACATTCTTTATCGACAGCCGGTGGTTCATATAAATGTCCACATATTTTATATCCCAACTTCAAAAGCATCATTCTCCGATGCAATCCCAGATTGTTCCGACCATTTACAACTAATAAAGAGAAATATTTCATATCAATCAATGTCCGACCTGCAATACTGACAAGGAGGACCCGGATAGGCCTACCAAAAAAAAAAAAAAAAAAAAATTCCAACGGTATCTTCCGACCGAATCCTGGATCCTCAGGTTATAGCAAGCAAGCGCCTATAACTTCCTGAAGGCTGCTTTATCAGTTTAAAGAGTAAAACAAAAATTTACAAGACAAGATCTATTTAAATTACTTTTATTTCGTTTGTCATTGAGGGAAGGAATTAAAAATTAAAGTTATTGACCTATTTTACCTGGATCTATAAAGAGTCCAGCTTTCACTTGGTCACAATTCAACTTTTAGAATACTATTTGGAGCATAATGCATTATTTCGAAAGTGTGAAGTAGTTAGTCAAACAGTCGGTAGTTAAAAGGCACTGTCACTTTTTACTACCGAAAACATGTTTATCTGCCGCATAGTTTTAATGTTTTTATTTTTCTTTGTGGTCATTGCAACAAGATAAATGTTACGACGGAATATTTCTATTTGATAAAAAAATCTGGGCAGTTCCTTTAACCAAGGTTGTAGTAATGAACACTAGATCTAAGTCATTTTAAAAGAAAAACAAAAAATATTAGGCCTACATACCGTGTATGGACAAACAGGTAAGAAGCATACAACGGAAGAGAACTCCTCGAAACATCCTCTTTGATTATCGGCAAAATATGAAATACGTATGAATTTTCCATTTTGCTATATAAATTCTGATAGGTAATTCCAATTTTGATTTTGCATGGACATCCTATAAATAGATCAGTGACGTCATAGGAAGTAACCCGTGTTTTTGTTCCGGTTTACCATTTTTGTGAAAGAAAGATAATAATATGGCAAACGGTAATAATCCCTCTAATTTTGAAGATGGGATATTTTTCTTTTTATAACGAAATTCAACCAGAAAGTCTAGTCAAACAATTCAGCACTTTTTTTATTACCAACAATCATAGACTTTTGGCTATTTTGGCCTGCTCCTACAAATCTGATAAAATTTTCCACTCTGTGTGACACACTCGCGTCTCACAGTCACGTCTCACAGTCTACATGCCATTAAGAATATCTTTGGGCTTGGGTCCATAGAAATATTAGGTTCAGTTCTTTTACATTTAAAATAGACACATTTCACTGCTAGAGAGTTCATATGAAAATGATCTAGATTTACATTTGCGGTCTGAAAAATCTTGTTTACAAAAAACAACTTTTCCAGTGGTTGTCTGGCAATTTTAGTAAGCTTATTCTTAAAGTCTGACACTTGGTGAATTTTTGTTAACATAATAGTAAAATGACTATGAACATAACTATGTAGGGAGTCGGACTTTAAAATAGATTATGATGTGTTAAGGATACACTATAAACATTCGACATAACATTATGCATTTGATGTAAACAACTTCATAAACAGGAAGATCACTGGACTATTGAATAGAAGTAGGCTTAGTCAAATAAAGATTATGATGAAATAATAACTTGAAAAACAAGACAAGGTTAAACATCCTCTTCTAATCTACTTGTTAATAGTTTAATATACAGAGTAGTTTAAGAAGCCCCATTGTTATTGGCCCCTGGACCCCAGCAAGGAAGAATTAAGGCCTAGCAAACCTTCTTAAGTTCAGCAGAGATTGATGAAATGACAGAAACCAAACAGATGAAAGTTTTGATCAAAATCGTTAGAGTTTTCAAATTTTCATAGGGAATGCTCCAGCTCATACTCATAGCAATAGAAGCGCTCCATGTGGACCGGCTCTGCCCACACAACCTCTACACAGAATCTAGGGCCCAGCTCCAATTCATTCCTGTGACGAGTTTTAGTCAATGATTAGATATTTCCTTTGGCCCCTTTGGTTCTTATTGTGTGTTCAGACGACTAAACTTAAGGCAGCATAACTATCAGGCTCTGTTCTTTAAGCTTAATTTCTTAAAGTCATCTGAATGTGACCGGTTAAGATTTAGCTGCCCTAACTTGCACCTATTTCGAAAGCAGCTCAAATCCTGGTTTGAAAAGTTAAGCTGGCTTATTTTGGCCATTTTAGTTTCAGCTGACAGCTCCTTGCTTACATTAAGCCGGTTATGTCATGTCTGCACGTGCGTAATGATATTGTCATCTTTGAACGGCACGATGACCTCCTAGGTTTATGTCCGCCACCAAAAAAACAGTAAACCAGACTCGAATCACTCTTAATTTTTGTTCCCTGAACGCACTTTTAGAATGTTGGCAAGTGTTTATTAGGATCAACTTTAACGGAATATTCCTATAATTGTCTTTTTATATATAAAAACAAAAAAAATAACCTAGGAGGTTATCTGGCCGTTCAAAGATGACAATATCATAAGGCACGTGCATATATGCCCATATTGATGTTGTTCAGAATGTTGATGAACATCACCCATGACTGCCATTCTTTCCTGTAAATATTATATTTGCAAAGACATCAAGTCAATTTTACAATTTTTAACCCATGAAACAAGTTCATATTGTTTTTTTTATGAAATGTAAAGCAAGTTCAAATTCGAGTGCTATCTGATGATTTGAAACAAAGTTATTTTCCATACTAGAAATTAAAGCTCATGTTGAATTAGAGTAGTTGGAGCAAGTTTTCAGTCTTGCTTGATTGGGTCAGTTTGTAATCCCATTTGGGCCAACTGTTGGAAAATTACATTGAGCAACATGTAAATATTTCATAACAACTAAAAAAATTTCCATAGAAATTATTTCTCATATGGGTCACATGGCAAGCTTTATTTTTAGCATTTTAATAAAAATTGTTGAGATGACCATTTTTGCTTTTGCGTGTAAATAAATTTTTACAACATTTGAAATATAACTTATAAATTTTATATCAATAAGACTATGAAAGTTTCTTTTTGTCTTTTTTGGATTTTTTGACTACATTCATGGCAGCATAAACTAGGATGCTGTAAACGGTTCCAAATTACAGCCGCTCAAAGTTGAAGAAATTTGAAAAACTAATAGCCTTTTTATACGCCAACACGTAAGATGGGCGTATATTGTAATCACCCCGTCGGTCCGTCCGTTCACATTTGGCTCGTGCTCACTCTACAGGCTACAGTTCTTTATGGATTCTTTTGATTTTTATTTTGTGTGTCAATGTCATTATGAAGATGATCCCTATTGATTTTCGTGATGATTGGATAATTTTTCACCGAAATATCGTGTCTGACTTGACGTTTTTCTCTATTATCTATATTGTGCAACTCGTGCTCACTCTACAGGCTACAATTTTTTACAGATTCTTTTGATTTTTATTTTGTGTGTCAATGTCATTATGAAGATGATCCCTATTGATTTTCGTGATGATCGGATAATTTTTCACCGAAATATCGTGTCTGACTTGACGTTTTTCTCTATTAGCTATATTGTGCGACTCGTGCTCACTCTACAGGCCACAATTCTTTACAGATTCTTTTGATTTTTATTTGTATGTCAATGTCATTATGAAGATGATCCCTATTGATTTTCATGATGATCTATCGATTTTCGTGATGATCGGATAATTTTTCACCGAAATATCGTGTCTGACCTGACGTTTTTCTCTATTGCAACTCGTGCTCACTCTACAGGCTACAATTCTTTACAGATTCTTTTGATTTTTATTTTGTATGTCAATGTCATTATGAAGATGATCCCTATCGATTTTCGCGATGATTGGATAATATTTCACCGAAATATCGTGTCTGACTTGACGTTTCACTCTATTAGCTATATTGTGCGACTCGTGCTCACTCTACAGGCTACAATTCTTTACAGATTCTTTTGATTTTTATTTGTATGTCAATGTCATTATGAAGATGATCCCTATTGATTTTCATGATGATCTATCGATTTTCGTGATGATCGGATAATTTTTCACCGAAATATCGTGTCTGGCCTGACGTTTTTCTCTATTGCAACTCGTGCTCACTCTACAGGCTACAATTCTTTACAGATTCTTTTGATTTTTATTTTGTATGTCAATGTCATTATGAAGATGATCCCTATCGATTTTCGCGATGATTGGATAATATTTCACCGAAATATCGTGTCTGACTTGACGTTTCACTCTATTAGCTATATTGTGCAACCCTGTTGTGCAACTGACAGCTGCCAGTGGGCGTATGTTACCTTGCCTGGCTTTTTTTTTTTGTGTCAACACGACTTACTAAAACCATTATCGTAGGCAAACCGTAGATGCCATACACTTGTGCTTTACAGGGTGGGTAGCCTACGTCTAGTTCTGCATTTGCCAGAATATGGAGGGTTGATAATTATTATTTTATATATATATATATATATTTTCAGATAATTTAGGTATATCGTGGCATGACACAGCATGGATACCAATATTAAACCAGAATAATGTTATGGACTATTTCTCAGAGCGAAGTAATCCCTTCTATGATAGAATGTGTAATAATGAAATGATAAAGATGCAGCGTTTGAATCCAGATCAGTTACAGTAAGAATCCTTACTTCAACATGCTCAATTTTAAGGGAAATTCCATATATCATAAGTATCATGTCTCAATATTTGGGTATTTTAAATAAGGAGATCTTACTAACGATATATATAGTCCTTTAAATACTGATATTTAATACCTGTATATCACCAATGTTTCCTTTACAACTGTTTCTAATGCAATAAATGATCAAAGCTTTTATTTATTTTGGAATTTCTGGCTTATTAAATGAAAATTTTGAAGAACAATAAGAATACTGTATTTCAGGAATATGGTTGGTGTGGAGTATGTTTTATTACATGTTCAAGAACCTATATTATATGTTATACGTAAACTTCACCGCCATTCACCAACACAAGGTAGTGATTCTTTTTCATTTATAATGGTTGTCTAAAACATGTTTAAAATTTCACTGTGAATGGTTATTGAATTTCAGTGTGAAAGGTTATTGAATTTCATTCTGAAAAGTTAATAAATTTCAGTGTGAAAAGAAATTAATAAGTCATTGAAATTTACTATAAAAGTCAATTAATTTCTGTGTGAAAAGTCATCACTCTACCTACAAAATGAAAAGAAATTGAATATCTTGAATGCTGCTATATATCCACATTATGTTAATTTATACAGTAACATGATATAATGGATATAGGACTTAATTAATTTATATTTACAGTCACACCTTTAGCACATTATTACATCATTGCTGGTAGGGTTTATCAAGCTCCAGATTTATGCAGTGTCTTAAACTCTAGATTGGTAAGTATCTGTGAAAAACATTGCCTGCTTTGACTTTTGTAAGTGGATATTTGCACACAATCATAGCCTCATAAAGCTGTCTGGTGTTCTAAAAGAAAGAACAATGCCTGCCTTGCTACCATATCATCCTAACATTATTTCTATGAACTTGACAAAGATAGCTTTTTTCCTTCTTTGTAAAACTCTGTAGGTTGAGCCTACCCCTTGACTGTATTATGGCAGACATTGTAGATTATCTGGTAAATGTATTGAGGTTCAGCTTTGGATTTTGTCATGGTGAAAAATTGATCATAGCAACCCCTGGAAAATGTGACCTTTTGAATCTGGCCCTTATAGTGACAATATCACATCTATATATCACGTCCAAGCAACGTGTAGAGCCAGATTTGTACTGATTATACATACTTACTCCTTTACAACAAAAATTTCTCAAGTCTAATTGACTAAAAACCTTTAATTTTAGAAATGTTGGTATTCATAATACTTGATGTATTGTAATCTTGTGATTCAAAACTCATAAAGTTCATACACAGAAACAAGGAAACATTTCTAGATTAATATGTACTTTCGATATTTCGAAACAACTCCCACACAAAAAAGAAAGTTGATTTTCATGTTTCACCATTTTTTTGTTTTTAGTTAAATTCAGTTTCAAGTCTACAGTCAGCTTTTGATGAAGGTAATGAAAAGTTCCTTGTTCATTAATTTTCCAATAAAATTCATATAGGTGTTATCAAACCCTCCCAAATCATCAAAACTCTTAATCAATCAATGATATTAGCTTTTATTTTTAATATAGCCACTTCAGTTAAGGTCTCAATACAGCCCGTGGAGTGTTTGTTAAATATAACTTTTGACCCAGTCTGATAAACACAAAATGCCAGCACTGGAGGGGGTCGAAATTTGGTTGCTTAAAGCAGTCTTCATCGAGTAAGGTCAAAAGGTTAATTTGGCGAATGTTCAAGAGGTCTGTCGTTAGACCTTAACTGAAGGAACTATTTAAAGAATAAGAAATTGTTTTGTTTAACTATAGGAGAATCTTTCGTCTAAATTAAATCCTGAAAGTGATACAGATAACTGAAACATAACTCTATAAGCTGGTAAAGCAAATATCTACTTGACTGTATCTCTTTTAGACCTTACACAGTCATTGATATGATGATTAGCTAAGGAAAATCAGTTATAAAAATTTTGCCCTTTTTCAGCATCCAGCTACTCTAAATACACACCATCTAAAGGTTATATTTGGCAGTTTAAAGACAAAGAAGAAAAAGGTGAGAAAATATTTAAATTCTGTCTCTTGAAAAGGGCTGTCAAATAATTCCCCTAAATTTGGAAATTCCCTTTAAAAATTAACGTATAAAAAAGTCCTTACAAAAATTATCTTTTATGTCAAATTTCCGAATTATAGTTTTTTAGTAGTTCAAAATGGAATTGTTTCTTCAAATTATAAAAATTCTCAATTTATGATTGCGAAAGCACATTGGGTGGAGAGTGAAAAAAGATAGAGGCTACCATCTTTCACACATTACTAAACATAAATTTTTTCAGAAAAACCAGACCAAAAGGAAAAGAAGAAAAAGGAATTGCCCAGCTCCTCATTTCAAAGATCTCGAGTAGATTTATTACTTGGTGAATTGGGTAAAAAATTCCCACCACCCACAATAGCACTGGCACAATCTGACCCTGTCGCAGTCAACAAAGGTATGACTTTTATTCTGAATGAACACTAAATAATATAATGTACAGGAAACAACAACAATGAAATATTAAAATATTTTAATTTCTTTTTCTTATGTTACTTCTCAGAGTAATCCATTGCCTAGTGAAGCAATGGGAAATTTTGAAACATGAATTAGATAACAAAACTTGTTCAACAGAGTAGCTTACTACCTTGTGACTCACATGGGATTTTAAAAGGGCTATTTATATGCCATTGAACTATATTATAAGTAACAAAACTTATTACAAAATAAGGACACTTTGAAATGAAAGTAACTGTCCAACCACATTTATTTCTGGGATTGTCTTTGTGAGCTTACAGTTTGAAAATTTGAAACAATAATTCACCTGAAAATTCCCTTCTGGAGACTGAAGACTGTCAATTCCCTGTAAGAGTTGATATTTTAATTAAAATTGGAACGAAGTTAATTGTTTGTTGTTGGTTGTAAAATTTCTGTTCTTTGGCAGAAAATGTATTCAGATATATTTCCCTAATGCAATCAATCCTAGCAGCTGACTCATTATTTTGTGATATAAATCCAAGCAGCAGTTAAAGTGACCGCTCCCATCTAATGTCACATTATGTTGATGTTGAAGGCCTAAAGTTGCCCTTGCTTATTTTTCTGGGTCAAATCATGCTTATTGTTTGATTAATTAATGTTTCTAATGAATAAATCAAGTACTCTTGAGCGCTAAGATTGTGTGAGGATGTAGAAAAACTGAGGGATCAAATTTACTGAAATCCGATTGAAAAAGCTAAAAATAGATTCCTCGTTTACTCACTGACTGAAATAGATTGTGATAATCTAGCCATATTAGATATTAGCCAAACCATGTTTAAAAGACATATTTGTAAGTTAGAAATAATGTGATTAAAAAAACACTATGTATTTAGATAATAAAAAAAAAACATCTTCTTTTTCCCTATTTAGGAGACATAACCATTGAAATTTAAAAAAATTCTGGCTGTTTTGGCAATGTTCGGCTGTGAAAAGGCAACATAGAGTTACCTCCCTTATGGAAATTGTGAGACCTGATAATATTTATTAAGTGACCGCCTGATCATTGGAATCCCCTTGTAATTAGTTAATTACGAGTTAATCATTGACTTCTGAGACAAACTGGTATTTTTCCCAATCATTAGAACACCTTTCGATTTATATAAGTATTAGCCGTCCAATAATGGAATTCATGTATATATATAAATAAATGAAAATAAGGGAACCAAACTTTAAGTAATGAGACTCAGTGTTCAATGGGTTAAGATAATTTTGCTATTTTGTTGAAACTGAAGATTTAAAAAAACAGCATCATCTTAAAGGGACAGATGCCCTATTTTGAGAGAGTTGAGTCTTGAATATATTGACATCTTTAAAACCCCTTCTCCAATCCCACTAACTTGAAACTAATCATTTTTTACATCATTAAATTTGTAATTGATTAAGTCATTTAATGGTATTTTCAGATGAATTTTACCTTCACACATTTCCAAGCAAGGGCAGTTTTTATCAAATTGTCTATTCATATTCATATGACGATAATGTTCACAACTCAACATAATACATAATACAATATACAATATACATTAATCTTAGTTATAATATTTCTCATAGAAATTACCTGACCCTACTTATTTTAAAATCACAAAGGTTTATGTTTAGTCATTTAAATCCCAAGTTTTGTTTTTATTTTTATAACTTGAACAAAAATAACATTTCTAAATTTGTATATGTGTTAACTGGTTTATTTGAAAAAAAAATTTGTTAAACTACTGGTGCAAATAATGTCTCATTCATTTGATAACAACCAAATTTTTTAAAGAGACAGATACGCCATCTGCTTGGCCAATTGTACTTTAGTTTCAGAAAGGGGTATTTTTTATCTTAGCTAATCAGTAGAAATCACTGTTGAAATTTTCGCCTTCAAATCCATGTGTGTTATTATAATTAGACTGCCATAAATAGAAAGGATATATAGAAATAGAAATTCCTAGTTTTAAAGGAATTATGTGATTTTGGTACATTTCTAGTACTACAGAAGACTATTTATCTATATATTCAAAACTCAAATCAACTTCCCGAAAAAAAGTGAATAAGAAATATTTTAAATTGTGATAAGAGATATTGACTCTATTTGTAAGCTAAGTCATAATGCCCTATTGATGTTCAATCGTTCATAGTTAGAATAATTTGAATTGAAAGAAACATTAGCCTGAATAATTGTAAGCTTGTATTGTGTAAACTGTAAATTAGATGTAAGCTTTTCAGCTTGCTTATAAGTATTTCTTAATTGAATTTTGAAAAAACCCAGTTTAGTTTGTTATGATTGGCACAGGGCATGATGACCTTTCTGGAAACACATGACACCACTCTGCCATGATTACTCTTGAGATCACAGCTTACCACTATGCCACTGGGCTTATCATCTGACTCTAGTCTAGTAAATAATCTGTATCCATTTCGACTATTAAGTTTACTAAGGTTGGGTAGGGCATGATCACTCTTTTGAGAACACCATATACCACTCTTCCTATGGGTTTGTCAACTGACTAAAGTTCAAAAACTGTATCAGTTTTTAGCTCTACTACAAAGTTTTGTTTTGGTGGGGAAGGGCATTATGACTGTACTGAGAACACAACATACCACTCTGCCACTGTGTTTGTCAACTCTCCAAATTCATGTTATGCTGAGGACACATGTTTTTTTTCACTGATTTTTGTCACAAACTCAAGAGTCAAGAGTTTCACTGACCGACTGCGAGCACAAGGAGACAGAAAATCTGCAATTGGTCGTTTTCCAGTATGTGTCAAGTGTCTCTTGACGAGGAACAGTGGAAACGCAGGCACTTTTGAAATTTTACTCAAATCGGCGACAAATATCAGCCACAAAGACTATTTGTTTGCTATCACCATGAAATGATACAGATCTGTGTCAATAAGTTCATATTACTCATGATGCTGATAACAAAAACTAAATTTGATGAAGAATATTTGAATTTATTTAATATGTCAGTGTGTCATAATTTTCCAGGCTTTCAATTTTTTTGTCTTTACTTTAAAGTGATACTACATCTTAGAATGAACATAAAATTCAAGTTCTCAAGAATGGTCAATATGAGTAAGTATTCATCAGTATATGACCTGGTGTCATAAAGTTACAACAGAATCCCTGTAAAATCTAGAAAATTTGAAAATTCATTAAACTAAGTAATTATTGAAAAACGCTTAATCTTAATTTTAAGCGTTTTTCAATAGTTAATTGCATATTTATGGATAATTACTGAGTTTTTTTAGATTTATCAGATTATATAAGGATCCTGTTATGTTATTTATGACACCAGGTATATCTACTGATGAATATATGCTCTCATTGGCCAAGTTTAAAATTCTTAAATTTTATGTTCATTCTAAGAAGTAGTATTCTTTTAACTAAACTGGGTCAAACTTCAGTCAATGAATATATGTGACATAGATTTTACAAATGATGATAAACCATCAATAGACAACAGGTTATAAGAAAGGGAATTCCACCTGCACCTTTCACTTGGAAAGTCCAGTTTATTTTTAAAGCTTATTTGTGGCTTTCAACAACAACTTTCTTTAGGTTAAAGGGGCATTCTATTTTTTTCAATCTGTTTTTGTGGTTTGAAACATCAAACTGCATGCCAACATATACAGGAAAATGCCCTTTACCTTTAATATCCAAGCTTGAAGTCCCGAACAGCTGCAAAATTCTTAACCTGTTATGAAAATATTTTGAATCCCCCGGGAATCATAATAGCCGATATTTGATTTTGAGAAATGAATTTTGGTTGGACCATCAATTGTTAATATCCAATCAGCAGCGATTTCACAAACATACCTCCAAAAGTGAAGAGTTGTAGGGCCTTAGTTTCTGGAAATTTTTTTAAGATGTGTGTGTCTTCTGGAAAGCTTAAACGGGTATTCCACTTTTTTGTAAAAAGATTTCATTATAAAAAACATCGTAAATTATACCTGAAAATATTTCTAAAGTATGTTATTTATATCGATATATCTTCTTGATCAAACTGAATGTATTTTAAAAGGGTTACAGGTAATTAAAAATAGAGAGTATTAATTGTTAATGAAGCAGTTGACCTAGTTTTGCTTTAATAACCTTTCATTATGATTTTAAATATTTTTGGCGTTTATAAAATAACAGCTGGATTTATTTTAGTAGAAACTTTCAGATATGTTCAATGGCACATTTCTCTAGATTTTGGTGTAAAGTTTTGACAAATTAGAGCAAAAAAAATTTTTGTTCGACAAAAAAAGCAGAATGACCCCTTAACCATAAATGACATCACTATTGCAAAAACTGCTAATGATAGCGATAGCTACGTCAAACAATGGAATTAAATATTGTTTTGTTTAAGCGGAATTGACACAACCAGAGATGTGTTTTAATTTATGAATTTGAGTGGAGCAAATCAATGCTATCATTGTCCCCAATACATATAAAAGTTTAGAAATCCTCTTTGCTATCTCTATAATATCAGTCCCAATTCCTAAATAAATTCATGGAAATTTTTGCAAGTTAGGAGTGGCTCTTTGACTTTCTGGGAATTTCCAAAGATCCTTTTGAAAAGAAAATGAATGAAATTATGAATGAAATGATTATAGTGTATAAATTTTTTAATGCTTAGTCAATCATGTGGGTGATTTAGCCTACTGACATACTGACCTACTTTATCAAACTAGGACTTTATCAAGGTAAATTATTTGCAACTATGACTCTGGTTTTATTAGTAATTTTAATGTCCTGGTTTTTTGTTTTGGTTTTTTTTACATGTGGAAAAGCAGTGAATTTAATCCAAAAATATTTTCCTTGAGTAATCTTCTCGGTTATGTTTGTTTTAAGAAGTGTATAAGTTTGTTTAAAGAGAAAACTAGTTGTTTATAAAAAGAACATAATTGTTTATAAAAAGAGCACATTTGTTTAGGAAAAGAACACATTTGTAATAAAATAAGATATCGTGGGTGACCGCTTGA